AGGAAGAGGACGAACGGACGAACACCCACAGTCCTATATAATATACCGTCTGCTTAAAAAAACGGATATATAAAAACATATATTAATAATGTTACTCTACATTGTTAACGAATAAACCGTTGAAGTTACTATTAATGAACGTGTCGTGACTCTGTGTCTCATGTGTTTGGTTCAAAGTATTCTATGCGATTTTATCATTAGAATTTTATTATATTTTAAGCATGCCAGTCAGCCATTCCTTGTAGCCCCGTCATCTCACGATGTGATAGTCCCTTGATCCTTTAATTCCTCAAGTACTGAAGCGCGACATAATTTTTATTAGATCAGGGGCATTTAAAGGATCGAATTTTAATTAGATTGTGATAGTCCTATTCATAACTAAATGAACTAAATGTTAAATTCATTTCCTTCTACCTACTACTTGAAGAATATTTTGCTGATTTGTTACATTTTTGTACAATTGTAAAATTTTGCACTCTTTATCGACTCTACTCAATATATAATTTGGTTGACCGTTATGGAATATCTGTTATGTAGATGATATTAGATAATTATGTTCTTTATGTCGTAACTGCAATCCCGTTCTCTTTTCCCGAATGTGACCTACCGAATTAGACTTCTTACCTTCATTTGTGACATTTTTACCTATTGTGTCTGTTTGTTTTGTTCACGCATCATTATCAATATTATTAAATTTGATGCGACTGTCGTACAAGTGAGAGGTTTAGCGCTATAAAACCAGGTTCAATCCACCATTTTCTACATTTGAAAATGCCTGTTTCAAGCCAGGAATATGACGGTTGTTGTCCATTCGTTTGATGTGTTTTGTCATTTGATTTTGCCATGTGATTAGGGACTTTCCGATTGAATTTTCCTCGTAGTTCGGTATTTTTGTGATTTTACTTTTTTCCACCAGTTGTATCCATCAAATGATCCACCTAATCAATTTCGTTCTTGTCTGGAATATAATATATTATATGAAATATTTGTTGCTGGACGCCTAAAAATATAGACGTACGAGACAGAAACTTTTTTTATAACCTGTCCTGTAAATTAGATTTCGCAACAATTTCGCCTGTCGCTTATTCGTCCCCAGAAAGCCCTCAAAAAGCCAAAAGACGTTAGAGAAATCTCTGACTAGCCGGGTCGGAAATAGGATGTTAAATCCACTGTCACGTATAGGGAGAGTGGCATGCTTTCTGTGCGTTATGGCTCTCCTCTTTTGCCATTATACTCTCTGAAAGGACATTGACTGGCCCGTTACAAGGCTTGATTTGTGCCCCTAGATATCTTAGATACATTTTCATGTTCTTGTGTCAAACAAAAGAGGCACGGACAAGTTCTTTTGAAATTATTTCACATTTTTGCCCAGTAACCCCGTCATTTTATCCTAATTTTATCTCAAATATTAATTTAGCTCTTGCAAAATATTGTGAAATTCTTGTTAATTTGAAAAATTCTGATTGACACTTCATATTAAAAAAAATTAAGAATATCTTTGCCGCCATAAATACAATTTTCTTTAAAGCTTGTTTCTGTAAAACACAAACCTATGTGAAGTTTTTTCAAAATTTTGATTTATCATTTTTAGAATGAAAATAACGTGATTCATAAAAGGCCTTTTGAATTTTGAATTTCAGCATCAATCAAAACGGCAGTGGCATATATTGTAATCAATAGTGTGTATATTTCAGTTAGAATTATAAACTTTGTTTTTATGTATTCAACTAGAGTCTGGGGTAATTGGGCGTAAAGAGGCGTTCATATAGGCATCCTAGAAAAAAAAGAAGAAAGAAAAGGCACTTGTTGCATACAAGAAACTATGTTGCATCTACTACTTATACTAACGACGTTCGGGTGACATTTCAGAAATTTAAGGAAGTTGGAACTGAAAGATGATAAATAATTAGTGCATTCCGTGCAATATAGTATTTTGATACTAACAAATTCTAAGCAACAAAAAAAATACTACACTTTTATACACCTTAATCGTTATTTTTTTTTGTTTCGTTTTGAAGCAGCATCCCGTGTCAACCAACACACCGTATTTGACGTTCTACACGATGAGTTAGCAGAAACTGAAACTAAGCTCGAAGTACTTAATCTGTTGATATGAAATCATGCTACCCTTACACTAATGTTGGCTGTTCTTCGTTTAATAGAGATTTCCAATAAAATGACATTTCTCGACATAACCAACCTATCTGAGCGTATCTCGGCCTATTTCATTGAAGCATGACGGAGGGGAGCATAGACTGTATGATAACTTTGCTCATTGAATACATATATTTTGTTGGAATATATGTTAATAAAAAATTAACCCAATCTGCTATTCTAAATCTTTACATATTTTGTTTTTAAATTCTGGATGATTTTATTGACAACAACCTTTTAAGTAAATAATTAATTGAGTTATACCTGTTATCAAATGCACCGATAATGTTTTGGTCACTTCACCTGACCCATATATTTATTTCTTAAAACTACTAAAATCAAAACTAAGTTTGAAAAAATACAAATAATGAAATCTGAAGCGAGATGCGAGATGATGTTATCATTTTTGATTTATAAGTTATAAAGTTAAAACAGGGGTTTCAAACACGTTAGAATGTAAAAGGTGTACACGATTACTTCTTTTTTTTTGCATAGTTCTATAATTTATTACAAGAATCTTTAGTCAGAGACAGAAATTCAGTTCACTGATGTATCTATCCGATAGTACTTTGTCATCTTTCCGTAGACTTTTATAATATTGAATGCATTAGGCTGAATCTTCAAGAAAAAAATTAATACACTCTTCTAAATCAGTTAATTTTGTTTACTCAAATGCATGGATTCTAGGACGAGTTTGTATGTGTAATTTAACGTCATTATAGGATCATTAAAGTAGCGGTTTTTATGTTTATGGCCAACGTATTTATGATAGCAAGGGGATATCATATTTTCGAGTCGGTTCGTCCGTCCGTTCATCCGTCCCGTTCCAAATTTTAAAATTTTGAAATTATATACTAAATAATGGTTTTACCCGGATTAAGTGGTTTTCTAAACTTGGAGATGTGATAATGGGATGGGGCACGGTGTCTAATGCCCACATGTTCATGTTTCAAATGTTTTGAATATACATGTACATGTATGTGTATTCACAACCGCCGCGGTGGACTTGTGGTAGCGTGCTCGCCTCGAATGCGGGAGGTCTTTGATTCGATCATCGACTGGTTCAAATCAAAGATTGGCAGCCTCTCTACTAAGCACGCGATATCTAGGAGTAAGAGCAAAGATTGGTTGGTCCGGAGTCAGACTAATGTTTCTGGGTACGGTGACATGTCTTCCTTCGGACTGTTACCTTGTGAACTCACACGTGAAACAAAGGGATCAGCATGTTGGTCTTATACAAAGTCGGGTTCATATTTATCTTCTCGTCCTGAAAATGTATATTCAAACTGCAAATGAAAATACTTTAGACTTAGAAATTAAATAGAGGCAGTAGTTTTTATCTCAATTTTCAAGAGACAAATTCTGACAAGCACTGATTTCGACATATCTGAACTTGTCAGGTAAACATCCGTCTAATACTTCTTTTTTCCACAAAAATATTTAAATAAATAGATAAAGAAAGAAGAAAGAACATCGGATAACGAAACAATAAGATTTAAAATATAGAATGATGGAGCGTTCATCTGCAAAGTATAGTGAAAAATAAGGTGTCATTTTCAAAACCATTAAAGATAACTCAACTCGATCTTATAATATGTAAGGAATACATGTTTATATGTGATCTTATGTCGGTGAAAATTAAGCGGGAATCTGGAGAACCACGTGATAAATAGAAAAATACCTTATTTCTTTCATTTTTCATCACGTAAAAATTATTTGATATGGACGAACATTCTAGTATATGATTTTAATATTCTTGGAACATTTAGTTAAAACTTGAGCGACGTATTCAACCAAATTAAATGGTTGGCAATAATCAGTCCCATTATGTCCGTAGGTCGAGTTACGTACGTATGTCATTTTATTGGATTTCTCTAGTGTTTCACACATAATATTATACGCAGCTTAGAAGGACATGATCTTATGCATTGACATTGAAAAACTGCATAACAAGTAAGTATCACGAGTGTATTTACAAATTTGGTTAACTGCTCATTTCAACGAAATAATATTTTAACAACGTTATTTGCTGGAAATCTGCTCATCTGTAACCGTTCAGAAAATGCGAAATATCCTGATTATAGGGTCATGTTTAAACAATGACATTATTTTAAAAACGTAAGGCTAAGATAAACATTTGCGATAAAATATATCTCAACATGTTAACATAATTTTTGGATGATTATAAGTCTTTGTATGTTCACCCTTTGTTTATCTAAGATTCATATTATTCGCGAGAAAGTTTGAATACTTTACAATGGAAGGAAACTTTATATCTGAGTAGGCTAGATTCTCTGAATCTTTTCGAAATGCGACGCGAAGTGAATTATATACCTTTAATAGGTATGTGCCAGACACATATTTTGCTATTCCATTTAGAATATATTTCTCCTCGATCATCTGTATTTGGTCCTCGGACACAGTGCAGTTGACCTCTATAGTGCATATGAATTATAATCTGATACTGTTCTACTAACGTTTGTTAATGCCATCTCAAATCCTCTTGACCCTTTTATGATCATGAATTGTGCAAGCTTAGAATAATTTTATCTTTGATTAGTTCAATTATTGGCAGCAGACCGTACCCTAGATTCAATAGCAAATGACAATTATTTAAAATTCAAATAAGATAATTCATTAAAATGTATATATTATATATTAATAAGGAGATGTGATTTAATTGCCTATTTGACAACTATCCACCAAAGTTCAAATGAAATGAATGTAAGCAATCATAGGCAACCATACGGCCTTAACAATGAGAAAAACCCATACCGTATAGTCGGCTATAAAAGGCCCCGACATGATAAATATTAAACAATTCAATTGAGAAAATAACGGCATAATTTATATCTTGATTATTTAATATTTCATTCAATGATAACACATGAAAACAAAGAAAAAACAACAACACAGTTTTGTGGCATTATTACACCAAAGTTTGAATTGTTTAATGAATTAGCGTAGGAAGTCAAATTTGGCAGCAATGCTTTTTCCCGTATGCTTAACAATGGCTCTTACTTCCAGTTCCGTCTTGCCAAAAATCATTTTAACACCAACATCCCGACTAACGCCTAGTTTGTGATCAGGAAGTACGACAGAAATTTTTCCGTGAGGACTACAACCCCTTTCGTCTGTGTATCTCGGACTTTTGTTTGTTGAAGTCCAAACATCAATACCCATGGATTTCTGATCAGAAGCAACAGGTGAATAGATTTGTTCTTCAATCTCCTCATCTATTCTTACAGATTGTCCGATTTCTACGTGCTTACTAAATCGACCTCTGCACAAAACATCACCATCATCATCAGTGAATTTTTTATCTTCCGGGTCAACCCCTTCATCAAAATGACTGTTAGTTGCTATGCCGTATGTTACTTTACACACCCTGGTTGAGATAACCTTCGGTTCAAACCCAAACTGGACTGCTCCTTTAAGTACTGCTAGACCTGCCTCTGGTGGAATGATAACGGTTTTGGATGGAAATGCTTTCTTGACTGCATCTTGTAGAACAAGTGATTCAGAAAATCCACCGACCATCAGAACGATGTCGGTCCCCTTTACTTTTGGGTCATCAAAAATCTTCTGAAGATGTGACACAATGTAGGCACATGGTTCTGCAAACAGGTCTGTAGCAGTGTTGGATGCCAGACGCAGTTTGTCTCTCTCTAGTTTTGCTAAATTGGTACTTTGAAGTTCCCTCCCCGACACCTTCATGTGGGCGTCTTTTAGGGACACAGGCACTCGTATAGTGAGTTTACCTTTCTGGTCGGATTTAATGGTTCTTTTCTTTATCTCAAATTCACGTTGTAAATCTAAGTGACCACCTTTATCCTCTTCTCGAAATTTTTGCAACGCTGGCTTTCCTGCAAATTCTTCCAAAAACTTTTCGAAGGCCAGGTCGACTTTTGTACCACCCCAGTCGCCACCATTGGCCATATACAGCTGTTTAATGGACTCATCCCACTGAACCTCTTGTACTGTTATATCTATGGTTCCACCTGACAGAAAACAAATGTTAAGATTTGTACACATAAGTTATCTACAAAATGAATATATTAAATACGTGTAGTTAACTTTTTATACGACTGAGAAACTATATGACAACTGTACTTTTCCCGGATACTTTACCGTATGTTTTACACTTTAATTTATCGGCTCAAAATTTATCGAAATGACATTAACGATACCAATTTTACTGCATGAGATGCGCATTTTCCGAATAAATGTCTTCAGTATTGATCAATGCCTAAATATATGAAAAAACCGAAACTTAGACAAAAAATGAATTAACAACTGATCAAACCAAAAACGGACCTAAATTATAGCCAAATCCGGACAGATATCCAATTCTTAGTTGATCTCAGATAAATTATCAATTAACTTCAAGCACCCACAAATACTGACGCGTCATTTCTTCGGTGCTAACATGATTTATAACATACATTTCTACAATTCTCCGTTGATAAAGAAAATTTTTTTTTAAGAAACTCGGGTTTTAACTCCCTCAGGCAAAGTTGCCCGTAGATTACGAATTTTGTTATTCTTTTTATGGTCCATTTAATTATAGAAGGTTTAACTTGTCTACATGTTTTTACCTTTCTGACTTTCAAATGTTTGGATTGTAGCGTTCCTGATGATGGTAAAGCCAGAAAAGTTCTTCGGATGCAAAAAAAATTATAAAGTGTTATTTCCATTTGCTAACAAAATTCAGCATTCTTCAAGTTAAATGTTTACTAACAGTGTTTTAAGGTTTTGTAAATTTATTAATGATAAAAAGAGGCGACAAAAATGTTTAAATTAAAATAAGGAGTTATGGTATGATTGCCAATGAGACTATCCGCCAGAGACCAAATGAAGAAGTTGATAGCAACTATTTGTTAGCGTACGTTCCTCAACAACAAGCAATACCCCTACCACATATAGCAAGCTATCAAAGGCCCGGAACAAAAAAATCAATTCAAAAGAGAATAATAAGAACCTCATTTATGTACAAGGCAAATTAAATATGATATACAGCAACAAACGACAACCAATGAATTACAGGCAGCTCCTGACATGGTATAGGCACATACAAAATGTGGCAGGGTTAAACATGTTTGTCCCTTCCCCCCAAAAAAATAATCTGAACTTGAGAGAGTGTTTCAGTACACTATTAGAACAAACTATAAAACTCCGTTCAAAAATGCTTGACTCATCAGATCGACAAAAAGCAAACAAAATAATAAAAAAAAGCAACGAAAAGACTTAAGACACAAAGCCTAAGATTTGAGAGTACATGTACATTTACTTAAATCTAGTTCAAAGCCAATCACAACTCATAAAAGAATGATGTGTCCAAAAGTAAAATATCAACCAGTACACAACCAATGAATAAGTGTAAAGAAGTCATAAGCAGTCAGAGAAAACACGATCTTGTGCAATGACAAAATATAAATATCGACAGAATGTAGGACCGTTAATTTCATTTTATCTAGCAAAACGGATACAAAAACTCACCTCCTGCATCTAAAATAAGGTATTTTGATCCTGGTGACAGTGCATCTATTGTAGATTGTCCATTTGTTACCGTAAGTTCGTTAGGAATATATTTACAGTATACTGAAGCAGCTTCAGGTTCCAATGCTAAAATCAATTGTCTGTTGCGTATACCACCCTGAAATCATTATTAGGAGAATAGAAGTGAAATTAATATCACGTTACTCATTGGTTGATCCGGGGGGGAGGGTCCGGAGGGTTGGAACCCCCCTTTCATTTTTTCGATTTTTTTATTTTACCTCATTTCATACTTAAAAATGAAGATGTATGGATAATGCAAATGGTACAATTTCAAAAGACTTAGAAGTTATAGAATAACCCCAAAAAGGAGCTGTGATTCTTTTTTCCTTCTATGATTTCTCCATCCAATATGAATATAATTGTAGGTTATATTTAAGGTGTACAAAACACCTATGGGAGTAAACTCTTTCAAAATAAGCTGAACGTTTTAATCACAAAAATAGTAAAGAGAAATCAAGCTTCTCAACGATCAACATTAGTGTTTGTCGAAAAAAATGAAAACAGCACGTTATAAATTTTATTCGTCTGAAGCGCTTTTCTGGATTTATCTTCACCAGGAACGCTCAATGCCGAATATTTGAAAGCCGATGATGTATAAAACCGAAACAGTTGAAGAGCTTTATGACAAAAAATAGCCAAATCCATCTAAGGTAAACTTTGCCTGAGGGAGTTGAAACCTTAGTTTCTTTATATTTTTCAAAACTTATAAACGGACAATTTTAGAAAAGGTTTGTTATAAATCATGTCAGTACCGAAGTACTGACTACTGACTGAGCTGATGATACCCTCGTGGACTGATAGTCCACCAGCAAAGGTATCAACCCAGTGCTGTAAAAAATGAAAACATTATAAATTTTATTCGTCCGAAGCGCTTTTCTAGATTTACCTTCACCGGTAACACTCAAAGCCGAATATTTGAAAGGCAAGGATGTATAAGAACCAAAACAGTTGAAGAGCTATACGACCAAAAAGGACCTAAAAAGTAGAAAAATTCATCTAACATGTCTAAGGTCAGCTATGCCTGAGGGAAATTATTCCTGCAAATTGTGTTGTTCAAATTTCTTGAAAATTTTATATTTTTGTCAACAGGTTGAAGTAAATATTTTGTTAAAATTTGAGAAGAATTAAACGGGCCAAATCTACTTTAGTTAAAGTGTTGGGGTACCCCTCTCAAACAAATACAGTTGTGAATTGTCTTGTATTCGTGTACTGTATTGTACTGTTGTACTGTCTGTATTCAGATTTTTTTCTCTGAAATACTTACAATGGTGTATATGGAAATTTATGTATTTGTGGTAATGATAATAGAGGTTAAAAGAAGTGTGAGGGTATATATTAGGTGTATAAGACAGCAACCCAACGAAAAAAATAACAGAAAGACATCTAGGTAGATTTTTTTGGGGTTATCGTATACGCCTCTAAAGAAATAAATACCAACTCCAGCAATGTTGATAATAAAGAGAAGTGGGCATAATATACTAGGTATTTTTGTTGTTTTACTTTATACTAACAACTGTAAGACGGGAATAAAAAAATAAATATTGTACAAAGGTTAAAAACATTCTGACTAAATATACAACGGATGCTTTTCGTATTCGGAATAATAAACCTTAAGTCAAGTTGGCTAATAAAACGCATTTCATAATCATTACAAATGTAATATTTGGCATTGGACTGTAAATTGTTGAAAAGTGAATTGGGAATCAATTGTCAGTATCGTTTTAACTCAAATTTCAAAACTTATCACAAGAAAGGGAATTTGGCTGTCCTTCTTCTACAATTTTGATATTCTGCACAGTAATTTATGTAAACATACATAACATGTTTACATAAAATTCAAATATTTAAAAAAAATGATTGTTTTAACCCTGAAAAACAATAGAAGTCGTGTGATTCAATCATCACACCATCTCTTAAAGCCTTAGATGTAAATATTTTTGATAACATCGGACCAATGAAACTTCCGAACAAATGTGTCACATTCCTTTATTTTATGTTTCTTAAAATTATCCACAACAAAAGCTATATTATCCTAAAATTTGTAAAAAAAAATAGCATAAATTACGATTGTATTCAAAACTCCGTAACCCATCAATGTTCTGTGGACCCTTACTTAACCAACTGATTGTATCACTAAAAGAGAGGCGAGGGATACCAAAGGGACATTCAAACTCATAAGTCGAAAATAAACTGACAACGACATGGCTAAAAAAAGAAAAAGACCAACAAACAAACAACAGTACACAAAACACAACATAAAAAACCAAAGACTAAGCAACACGTATTTCATCAAAACAGGTGCTCCGGAAGGGTTAGCAGATCCTGCTCCACGTGTAGCACCCGTCGTGTTGCTCATGTTAGTATAAACCCGATGATTAGTCTAATTCAGTAGGTCACATTCGGGGAAAAAGGTACGGGATTGTAGTTACGACAATTTGAACATATTCGTTGTCATCTTCGAAACGGATATTCCACAACGGTCAACCATCTCGTGATGGCGTCCGTAAAATTAGTAAACAATGATCTACCTGCACAGCAGACTCTCGCATGAACTGTTTAGCCGCATCACTCCAAATAGCTGGAACTGTCAACACCCATTGGATCTCATCTGGTTGAAATGCTATTTGCAGATCTTTCTTGGCCAGTTCATCCATCATATGATGTTTAAGAAACTTTATACTTTCTGCAAACACTTTCATGGCTGACATAGGTTTTCCTTGGTCGTCTTTAATTCTAAGATCCCGTGGCATTTCCTGCAGTTATACATAATACAATGTAGTAACAAAAAATGTTATATAGTCATTTTTCAGGAGATTATTTAAGCTTCCTCTCGTCATACAAAACGTGCTTCGGTCAACGCTTTTAATCCCCAAAAAAATTACAAAAAGAAGATACAAGTAACTAATCTCACTGTACTGAAATATGTCATTTGCTACTACAAAAATGTATAAACGTGCGTTTTTAATTCCCGGCATTTGATTAAACACACAAATATAAAATGTGGAGATGTGATACATGTATGCATATGACTGCCAGTGAGACAACTATGCACCAGAGACCAGGTGACGTAGATGTTAGCAACTATAGCTCACCGTACGGTGTCTAACAATATCAATTCTTTCTTTCATATACAATATATTATTTACGAAATTTTAGTTTTACGTATGATATAAAATTCGTTTAAAGAGCATGCATGATTGATTCTTGTATAGAATGTGATAGTTAACTTTGATAGGGCCGAAACCATATGTACCTTCGTTGCTGCCGTATGCAGAGAAATCTGTTATTTTTCGGCGAGTTCAAGATATGGCATACACACTTGATTGATTTACCCAGTAAAATAAATTCGGTGACACTCTGTATTTTTTTAAACAGAATTTTAACCATATGCATCTGCGGTAATATGAAAGTAAAATAAATGTATTGAATTATTTTTTAGTCCAGTCCCCTTTGTTTTGTTGCGATTGTTCTCAAAACAAATAGAAAATCCGAGAATTAGCTTTTTCATGTACTTCTTATCTTATGTCACTTCAAAGAATGCACCAAGTCTTTTTTTTGTAACGGGAAATTTACCTGCGGCCCGGTTTTATACAAATCCATTTTGAATCTCCGAAAGTAGTGCCATCCTTTATGTTTATCTTCTTGGGCAAGTTCAGTATATTTGTCCTCAGCATCTTTTCCAAAGGCGACAAAGTTTTCAGCAGAATCAAATAAAATGCAGGTTGGGGTTTTTAAAGACATTCCAGTTTGAGATCCTGTAGCCCAGGTATGAGTTGATATAGATAATGGGTTATTTTTGTAGTCACTTCTTGTAGCAAACGCATAACCAGAAAATGTAGTACCAAAGTCAAAGGCTACCACTAACATAGGAGTTTTCTCCTCCTCGGCACAAGCCATGTTGATAGTTTGCTATAATCTGAAATTATATAAAACACTTGACGTAGATTTTAGAGTAACCATTGTCTATTAAATGAAATGGCCGATTGTAAGATTAATATCATGTTTGTTCTTCACTGTTTCGAACGCATTATACTGTTATGGCAAATGAGTCCGTATACACAAATACACACACAATAACCATCGATAACTCCGTGGTTATACAAGGCTAACGCCATAATTAATATATACTTCGTCTCAAAATTAGCCCAACAATGTTAGATCTGTTATTTTTTTTTGTCTTCCCACAGCGAGATTCGAACCCCTGCTGCTGTGACATTCAAGATTTCAAAACAAGAATAATACCCCGTTCACGCTATGCCTTTTTAATCTGGGTTCGACCCGAATAAGTTAATCCGGGTTAAATTTAGGTAGTGCGAACACCTTAACCCGGGGCGAATCCGGATTAAAATTACCCCTCGTTTTAGGTGGGGTTAATGTGGGGCGAACCCGGATTTATTACCTCACCCTCTATATGTGAACGTAAAGTGGAGTTAATGTGAGGTTGTTGCTATGGTGACACATGATGTTTGCTTACGTCATTCAAAAATTACAAACGTCAGATCATGGGCGAAACACCAGAATCAGCTGAAAGCGACAAAAATTGCGGTCTAACGTGGAACAAAAAGAAGAGAATTCAAGAATTTGGCTATATATCTTGGGCGAGAAAGCAATACCCGTGTAAAGAGGGGTATCCAAATTGGCTATTTTGGAAGTTTTTGATATTTTTAACATGTTCAAACGGATAATTATTTCATTATGCATGATAGTCAAATTAATTCAAATTGCACCTTTTTTGACAGTTTTTGTCACCTTCGTTATAGGCGACTGACAATTTTCAAAAAGACGCTTAGTTAACGACTTTAATGCACCCACCTAACATACGGCTAAATTATATATCATTCGAAAGCTTATTACCTGTACTTTCATTTTTGCCCGGTCGTCAATAATTCGTACGGTGCAATTTTCGTTAAATCAAGGTCAAAGGTCTAAACTGAGCATTCCAAATGTTTGCTATAATTACACAAAATGCATTTTCAGGTACTTGTATGGCATTTTATTCCCTAAAACTGATCTAAACCTTATAAAACAAATTACCATGATTTCAAATCAAGTGCAAACTTAAATGTTGATTGCGCTATATTAACAAAAAATTGCATTTCTTGAAAAAACTTCCAAAAATGATAAAATTGCAATAAAATCTAAATGTTTTCTGAAATTTGAATATTTGTATGTCAAAAATAGAATAGATTTATTGTTTATGGACCGAGGGAATTTTTTCATCATTTTAAACTGCAATTAATATGATGTAGGTCCAGATGCAGCCTTCTAATGAAACTTTTGTAGTTGCCCCCAAAAACACCATCTGCAAATCGGGATCATTTAGCTTTTTTTTTTTTTGCTAAATAATATTGCTAATATCGGCAGATAATGATCAACCATATTTAAAAAAAGGTTATGGAAGAACTTTAAGGAACAAAAGAAGACATGTTACGAAGATTATGCTCGTTCAATGTTCGAAAGAAAACTGTCTGTACCATGCGCTTTTCAATGTCAAATCCGGCAAATTCCTTTTAATGTTAACCTATTATAATATACTTTGTTAGTTGTTTTATTAAATATGACTGAAAATCAATAATTCAGATTAATTAAGATTGAATAACTTTTATGAACAACTGTAATCACCATACTGGTTTATGTATTGTTCACACGATTCGGTATAGTGTTTTAAGAAGATTTGTTAGTCCGTCTTACTTTTTCGCCATGGTCAAGCTGTCATCTGTTTTCTTCTACCATGGTTTGAGACTGCCTCCATATTATTTTATCCCTTCTTTCAATCAAAGAAATGAAAACCATAAATTTCATAGCTGAGCGAAAAAAGACAACAGAACTTAAACTCAGATATTGATGCAAAAAATAAGTTAGTAAAACAACATAAATTACCGAACTCCAAGTGAAATTTCAAAACAGAAAGTCTCTTATCACATATCAAAACCAAAAGCTGAAACACACCAAACGATTGGAAAACAGTTGTGATAAACCTCGTAGTTCTCTCTCCATCTCTATCTATCTTTATATGATATAGCGGAAATGTAGGAATCATCTTGTCCTTACGTCCTTTTTTCATTTGTTCTTTCCATTCACATATCCATATGTTAGTCTCAAAATTGTAATGAGCAATATTCCTTCGACATTGCTTGGCAGAATTATTGAAGTTCAAAGTGCACATATGGAGGTTATACGTGAAGGGATTTGTTTCATAATAGACATATTTTAATAGCGCTAAAAACAGTAATCTCTTTAAATTTACCAGAACATACCTGCTTTCAAGCTATCTCATTAAGTTAACCCTAATCTTATTAAAATGTAGTTCTCTGATTTCGTTATTCTCATACGATATATGAGCAGGCGAGTCGTGATTGATCTTAGTTTTAGTCAGATTGTTTTAACCCATGTTTTTAACACTTATACATAACATTTTGTACGGTTTTTTTCATGTCAACTTATATCACTTATTATTGTTGTGCGATCTTCGCACCATTAGAAACTTGAACCAAAAAATATGAAAATAAAGTGAGAAAATCGCAAAAAGTCGCTGTCAGATCAATAACAGAGGGCTCAGTGCACAATAAATATCCACGAACATAATTTAAGATCAGATGACATAAAACAATTAAAAAACTGGATAAATTCAACCACATTTTTTTCATTTCTCACAATTGTATAGATATTTTAGAATAAAATAACTTCATTTCAACCATATGTATTCTTAATATACATGTACTATCTTTAATATGCCAATGATCAACCAATGCTTAATAGATGATCTACTAAAATAGCTGAAGTAAACATCAACATTAACACTGCTGTGTTTGTTTAGAGGTTGCCTACTTTTACAAAAGGTGATCAATGCTGATTGGTATATTTGTGTTGTGACACATGCACAGTAACTTCGTGCTTGATACTAATAGCTATAACTAATGTATTGTTGTTGGGGATTGCCAGTTTTCCTTCCGAAGGTCGGTGGTTCCTTGGGCATTCCATGGACCTAAACCAATTAAAACTGATCGCCGCAAAATACTTTAGAAGCCAAAAGTGCTAAACCGAAAATTGCGTCAAACACCAACAATCAATCAATCATCTTTATATTAAAATGTATTTATATGTCAACTATTCAGGGAGTAAATTTGATTAATGGAAATGTATGTATTGTTATTGCGAATTGCTAGATTTCCCAATTCAAAAATTAATGTAAGCAAATATGATTGCGATGGTCTCAATTTATTTACAAGAAATTACTTAAATGGATAGGATTAAATATATTGGCCAGGCATGAAGAACATTTCAGTGGCTAGCTTATAATAGTTTTCACTTCCTCATTCAATGCAAGATGCAGTATAAGCAACCAAGAAAACATACAAATATTGAAATATTGAATTATCAAAGTTTCGCTCCCAATCTTTTCCCTAAATGCACGAATTTTCTGTGTATTCTATCCTTTAACATTTTTGCACTTTTAAAATTTGTGTTTTTCAATATAATATCGACTACATACAAATTGTTTTAACAAAGAACAGCTAAAAAAGCTATGTTCTTGCAGATGGTGGTATTTTGGGCAACTGCATGGTTGTTATAATTGGCTGTTTAATTAACAAGAAGCGTAATTACAGTAATTTAATGATGTCAAAAACATCCTTAGCACTAAATAAAATATGTTATTTGGTTTTATGGTGAATACCAGTTGAATCACAGACATAAAATTTGATTTTCATGCATTTTTGTCATTTTCAATGGAATTTCTGGAAAATAGCGCTATTTATTAAAAATCCGACATTAATATTTCAAAGTGCTTTTGATAAGCTACTATTAACATCTGTTCTAACAGATTTCCATATGTCCATACAAAATATCATTATTCAGAAGACAGAATATGCAAAAAAATGCTGACTTCTTGTAAAGTTAGAAGTTGTCCGTCCTTTACCTTTCGTTGTGATTTAACAGAAACTGCACCATACGAATTTTTGACGGCCAAGCAAAAAAGGTAGTGCAGATGATGTGCTTTCGAATGGTATATGATTTAGCCGTATGTTAGGTGGGTGCATTAAAAATATAATTTTATGGTTAATGTCACTTGTCTATTAATTTAAGAAACAGACAAAACTCCTTCCTGTGTTCATTTCGTAGATGTATTCCGGGCTAATTTACTACAAAAATTCACAAAATAATTTTAAACACATACTGAATCATGGGAAAAATGGGTTTGAACTGACTTTCAAACGATCAAATATTTCTAAATTGCACACCTGCTTAAAGTTTAAACATACGAAAAATCGACTTACTGATATTTAGTTTTAATTTCTTCACATTCTTAGAATATTTTGACAATAGTCCATGCTTTTTGTCCTTTTCTGTAAGAAATGGATGCCTGTGACATATTTTGAGTGCTCATTTTAAAAGTTGACTTTTTGTGGATGTAATTAGCGGTTTTCAGTAAATTTTTCTTTTCACTGGACCTGTTGACTTAATGTGAACTTTTTGTGAAGAATAAAGTGCATTCAGCTAAATTAAAAGATGTGTATATTACAAATGATGAAAACACGATTTTTTAAAAGTATTTCCATTTCATTTTTGCAAAATGGGTACTCGGTGTAATAGAGATTTCCAATAAAATGACATACGTACCTAACTTGACGTACGCACGTAACGGGACCGGTTATTGCTAACCTATTAATTTTGTTAAATGCGTCACTTAAGTTTTAACTAAGTATTCCTAAACTATTAAACACATTCATGATAAATTTTATCAATATCAAGTATTTCTAAGATGATGAAAAACGAAAGAAATCATGATTTTTATATATCACGTGATTATTGAAATTCCCGCCAAAACTTTACTGTCATAAGACCACGTATATACGCGTATCTTTACCTATCATACAATTGATTTGAGTCGTCTATCATGGTTTTGACCATGACTTTGTTTTTCGATATGCTTTGCAAATGAACCTTTTATTATTTAATATTTGACATGCTTTTAATTTTTCGTTATCAGATTGGTGTCCTTTTTTCCTTTCGTCTCTTAATGTTTTATGATATTTAATTTCCGTGGGTATTTATAATTAGATAGAGATTTTTCTAGCAATTTCAGAAATATCGAATTCAAAGTGTTAGTCAGAATTTGTCTCTGTTAAAGTTGATAACTGGGATTGCATCATACTTTATTAAGGATCATTTCTAACGTTCTCTTCTTCTGCAGTTAATCTTGTTTTTTTTTACAATCTCCATTTTTTTCCCAGGGAAAACGTTCGACAAAGGGATGTGTATATTTAAAAAGATACTTATACAGGTCTTGTACTTCTTTAAATTTTAATAGTTGACATACACTTTTCTTTCAAATGAAAGTCAACATTAAAAAAAAGAATTTTGTAATTAATAATGATATATGTAAATAAATGTGTACACCAATTCGTTATATAGATTGTAATTTGGAAGCCACGGTGTACTTGATTAGCAATTGATGACTAATCTGCATATAATCATTGACCGCTGTGGATAGTAAACTATCAATTTATATTACATAGTAATTGGCTAAAAAAATGTCCTGTCCCCAAGTATCTCTAAAAGTGGACGAGAATGCCAATTTATATACTTGTTACATTTTTAAGACAACTATAATGCCACTTCAGACTTTACAGTAATTTTTTTTAATGTATTTTTAATCAGTAAGGCTTGATATTGTCATAGTTGTTTTTTTATTAAGACAACTCTTACTAATCCAATAGGAAGTGGATTCTAAAACTATCACACATTGATTGAGTTAAGCAAAACATTTTAGTTTCAATTTTTGTCTCGCCTTAGAGGTATATATTTATATATAAAAGTTAAACTGTGGTTCACTTGTTGACGTTGGTTCATATCTGTTATATTTGTTTTCCGTAAATTGTTTTGTTTTAAATCAGGCTGGTAGTTTTCTCAATTGAATTGTTTCATATTTTTCAAGTTGGTTCCTTTTATAGTCGACTATACGGTATGGATTTTTCTCATTGATGAAGGCCGTACGGTTGCCTATCATTGCTTACATCCACTTCATGTCTTATTGGCAATCATACCGTGTATCTCCTTATTTTTTTTATTTTTTTTTTTAACTAAATACGTTTTATATTCTCAGGTAATTTAACATGTACGAATTAGCTTTCAGTACCTGTGGGTACTTTAAGATCGGTACTCTTTGTCTTTCATTATAAAAATGTAATTGTTTGGGCTTTTTTCAATATTGATTAGTTGAGCTGTTTTCAACTGAATTTTACAGGGTTTTTTCTTCTTATATTGTGCTGTTACACCATAGTGTTGAGCGCTGGTAAACGCGTTTAATCAGGCCAAATTCTATATTGGCTTTCCCAAGTCAGGAGCCTTCAATTCAGTGGATGTCGTTGGTTACTTTCTGTCATTTTTGGGTTAATTTTACTCTTGTAAAAATGTTTATTTTCGTTTGAACTGTTTACATTTTTCAAAGTCAATGCCTTATATACTATAATATCTGATAATACGGTATGAGTATTTGCTTATTGTTGACGACAGCACGAGCCACTGTAGTCGTAATTCACGCCATTTGGACTCTGTTTGATAGTTGGGCGCTCCAAACGGATCCAGGTATATACATGTCGGAGTGTAAGGAATAAATCGAAAAAAAAAAAGAATACATGCTAAGCATACTAATGCTTTTGAAGAGAAAATTGAAAATATTTATTGAACCGGGACAGACTGGCGGACGGACAGACAGAGTGATTGCAATATGAGTGCAGGTACAATATTTTATCAGTGTATGTATCTTAGATAAGTCTGGATGAAAACGGGGTA